TGTGTGCTAGAACGCAGAGTAGAAGACTGGCTTGGGACAAAGCAGACAAGGACACTGCCCACTGAGACTTCTGGCTGCGTGTGCATCCAGTTCCTGTCCCCTCTGTTGAGCTGGGTTTCCCACACTCCTTCATTCAGTTGAACGCCACAATTGTCAGAAGCAGGTTGTAGGGTTTACCTCGTGTCTGTTGAGTGACGGAGAGAAATCCATTGGGAGCCTTAGCTTTTCTAGTAGGAAAGTTTCTAGGCTGGAGGAGCACCCCTCTGGTGTTTTCATGCACACCGGTGTTTTCATGCTGCTGTGTCTCTAAAGGCTCCCGCATGGGCCAGCCCCTCTGGCTACCTGTTGGGCTTCCCTCTGTGCTGCATTAGCAAGGCCTTACAGAATTAGAGGCAGGCCACATCTCCTGGCCCTGTGTCCTTTGTCCAGGTGGGGGAGGAGAGAAGTCCCCACGCGGTGACCAGTCAGAAAATAATTTGGAGAGTTGCTCTCATTCTGTCTTTACAGTTTAGGATTTGGGGGGAACCTTTGCTCTCTGGGTGGTGAGCAGACCGAGGGACACAGACCTGAGAGAAGTTCCGACATTACTCTGAACCTACTCCTCCTCTTGTATCTACACAATGCAGGGCCTATTGTAGCAAGCCGTGGAGAGAGGAGTAGGTTTATGTCGTTCACACCAGTGACAGATGATCTCGCCATCCTCACAGGTGTGCAGATGAAGCCTTAGAGACTGTCTTGACGAGCGTCTTATTTTACAGATGAATCTGAGGTCATGGAACGGGACTCGCTCGGAGGCATAGCTAATTTGTTTCTGAACCAGAACTGGGGCTCCCAGCTCCCAGCCCTGGGCTCTGCTTCAACGATATGCTGCCGGTAACCTGCAGGTCTGGCCTCACAAGAGAGAGCTCCTGCTCCTGGGGGGTGTGATCTGGCTCTTCAGGGTGTGAGGCGCTGCCCAGTGCCTGGCCCCTCTGTGCTTGGATTGATCTCTGCTCTCAGGGCCGCTGTGGATTACAGCAGATGGCAGCCAGAGGGTCTCACTGCAGTCTCTGCTGCCTCCTGCTGATGAGGCGAAGGATGTTTTTTTAGGCAAGAAAGACAAATATGCTGTGCCTGGCAAGTGAAAGAAACACAGGAAATTACCAAAGCTACTTTGAACTCTCTTTTTTAATCTTTTGCAAGAAGAGATCTGTCTGTGGTCATGAAGCTTATTCACTGCTTTTCTCTTTTTTGTGCATCGTCATAGTTGCTCTGCTTAAATGGTTAGGAGATTGCCCAGCATTACTTTAGTGATTTGGGGGTGCTTTATTGCTTTAAACTTCACTAAGAACAGAAATGCTGTTTTTCAAAAGAGCACCATTCTTTTTAGTCTATAGCTAAAGGCTTTTTTAAAAAAATTCTAGTCCTGAATTAAAAGAAATTACGAAACCACAATTTCATTGCTGGGATGTAGCACAGACCATAGCCCATTCACATTCCAAGTCGGAGAAGTGAGACCCAGAGAAGTTTAGTAAGTGACTTAATGAAGTTATAGTTACTTAGTCAATATCAGTACAAGTGTTCTGACTTAGTCCAGTTCTTTCCTTGATTTTGAGCTTCCTGTGAACTAGACCTTGTTTTTTTGTAGGTTTTCCATGGATTATTTCTAATTCCTACTATATTTCTATTTAGTAGATATATCCAACCCCTCTTTTATGAATATGGAAGTGGAAGCTCAGATAGCTTAAGTACTCTGCCCAGGGAGAGAGGGTGATCTGGTTAAGTACTCTATCCAGGAAGAGAATGATCTGGTTAAGTACTCTGCCCAGTGAGAGAATGATCAGGTTAAGTACTCTGCCCAGCGAGAGAATGATCTGGTTAAGTACTTTACCCAGTGAGAGAATTATCTGGTAGTATTCTGCCCACTAAGAGAATGACCTGGTCAAGTATTCTGCACAGTGAGAGAATGATCTGGTTAAGTACTTTGCCCAGTGAGAGAATGGTCAGGTTAAGTACTTTGCCCACTGAGAGAATGACCTGGTTAAGTATTCTACCTACTGAGAGAATGGTCTGGTTAAGTAATTTGCCCACTGACAGAATGATCTGGTTAAATATTCTGCCCAGTGAGAGAATGATCTGGTTAAGTACTTTGCCCAGTGAGAGAATGAACAGGTTAAGTACTTTGCCCAGTGAGAGAATGTTCTGGCAGCATTGTAGGACTGGTGTGAGTCCCAAGCTTGTGTTTTAACACCATACTTACTGTGTCCCTTAACTATTTCCTTTAAGATTTACATTATCTTAATTCATTTGTCCCAGTGTTCAAACCTTTCACTGTGTCATTGTCAGACGTTATAAGCTCAGCTTCGTAAGGAAGGGTAACCCAGTGGAGAACACCTGCAAATATTTTTAAATCTGGTGCTTTAAGTTCTTGCTGAGAACACTTTGTCTCAAGTGCCTTCTGGTCCCTGGGAACTCCTATGAACACATTTGCGTACCAGATCGTGTTAACTCTTCCTTGTGTAGCCTCCCACAAAGTGAAACAGCCAGATTGCTGTGAAGGAGCTCAGGGGGAGAGGTAGGAGAGCCTTGGGCAAGAAATGGAGGTGGAGAGATGGAGACATTTTTACTTTGAGTTAATATTTGATCATGGAAGTACAATTTCAGTTGGAATAATTTTTTTTTAATTTTTAAATGTTTTTATTTATTTCTGAGAGAGAGACACAGCATGAGCAGGGGAGGGTCAAAGAGAGAGGGAGACACAGAATCTGAAGCAGGCTCCGAGCTAGCTGTCAGCACAGAGCCTGACGCGGGGCTCAAACCCACAAACTGCGAGATCATGACCTGAGCTGAAGTCGGATGCCCAGCCGACTGAGCCACCCAGGCGCCCCTCAGTTGGAATAATTTTAAACTGTTTAAAGTTTCTCAGAAATCTTACTTGTTTGCCCCCCATAGGTTAGAAATCATCACTGTTCCTGTCCATTAATTTCTTGTACTTCTCAGAATCTCATTATTCAGATATTAAATTCCCCGTATAATTTCATTTTGAACAAAGAAGATGCATGAATTGTCAGTGAATAGCATATAGGCCCAATGGATTGTGCTCCTGTCAGGATTATAACCTTATTCTTTATAGAAATGTATAAAGAGTCTTTCTTACTGGTCCTTTGATATTTCAGACATAATTTAAACATTCTAATTACAATATAATTGCAAACGTTAAATATTAATTTTAAGGTAAAAAGACAAGTGTCTTTCCTTCTCTTATCCTACTTTTATTTGTTTTACTGTTTCAGTACTTACCAGAACTTGTCAAGAGCTCATTAAATTTTGTTTGCTGTAGTCATGGTTCACCTTGGTTGCTTTTTGGCCAGCCCCTCTCTTCCTTCTGGCATAAGACAGTAAGCCCTCTGACTATAAGCCCCAGGGAGACACGGGGCTTTGCTTATTGCTGTTGTCAGACCCCTCGAACAGGTACACGACCTGTTCCAGGAGTTTGATGCTTGATCAGTGAAGTCATGTAAAAATCCTTCATAGGGAAAGTTATTTTAGGTAAGTATGGGGATTTTCATCCTCTTTAAGAGATGAGTCTTCCTTTTTTCATTTTCCTTTTGAAACCTCTGTCCCCTCATTTCCTAATACTGCCATCTGTAAAGGCTATTTAGCCAGATAGAGTAGACAGAAGCATTGGGCTCTTGCTGAAAACTTACTAAAATTGGACATTACGTATCTTCTTGTCTTACTCCCCACTTCCTGTCTGTTGTAAATAAGACCCCTAAATGATTTAAAGTGATATTTATTAAATGCTAATATGTATTGAGCATATAGAATTTCAGTGTACAAGGAACACAATGGGGATATTTTTTGAAATATTTGTTTATGAGAAGAATTGAAAGAATTCTTCTCTGGTGGAAATAATTTGAGAAAAACTGTGGCTTTGTATTTAGGCCACCGCACGTTAAGTTTTATGGGTCTTGTTTTCATCTATATTTTGTTTCAGCAGTTCTAGTAGATACTAAGGCTATGTAAACCTTCTTTTCTGCAATATTAAAAATGTATACACATCATTAGACATCATGGAAGTGCAGATAAGTGAGATAACACACTTTACACCCAGTAGGTGTGACTAAAATTAGAAAGACAGCAAAGTGTAGGTCATGACGAAGAAGTTGGAACCCTCTTACTACTTGTGAGAATGTGAGATGGTGCCACCAACTGAATGAAACAGCATAGCAGTTTATCAAAAAGTCACCATAAAACCTAACAATCACACTCCCAGGTATATATCCAAGAAAAATGAAAACATGTGTCCACACAGAAACTCATGCATGTTCATAGTAATATTATTTATAATAGTCAAAAAGTGGAAATAACCCAATGTCCATCAGGTGAATGGCTAAGCAAAACATAGCATATCCAGTGGCACATTATTTGGCAGTTGAAAGAAAGGAAGTACTAATACATGCTACACATGGATGGATGGACTTTTTAAAACATTACGCCAGTTACAAAAGACCATTTTGTATGATTCCATTTATACAAAATGTCCAGAACCAGCAAGCAAATGTAGGAAGATAGAAAGTAGGTTAATGGTTGCCTGAGGCTAGAGGAGCTGGGAAGAGATGGAGATTGATTGCCAGTAGGTATGGTGTTTCTTTTTTCGGTGATAAAAATGTTCTGTTTTACATACTGGTGATGGTTGCACATCTACACACCATTGACTTGTCCACCTAAAAGGGTAAATTGTATGTGAATTACATCTCTGTAAAGTTGTTATAAGAAAGTATATTTATAGATGCATTTGCTTCCATGAGCATAAATTGTCTTCAGAATGATTCACATTGGTTGCTTATGGGAGGGCTCTGGGCTCCTTTGGGGGCCAGGGCAGGAGGGAGATTTTTACTAAATACCCTTTGTGTCTTTTGTACTTTGTGCCCTGTGGGTATATTACGTAATTTGCAAGTAAATATTGACGAATAAAGGTACTAATAACCCATCTCTTCACTTGATTTTACTATGACCAGGTCCTTCAGGGGTTAGATTATCTACACAGTAAGTGCAAGATCATTCATACAGACATCAAGCCGGAGAACATCCTGATGTGTGTGGATGACGCCTATGTGCGAAGAATGGCAGCCGAGGCCACTGAGTGGCAGAAAGCAGGTGCTCCTCCTCCTTCGGGGTCTGCAGGTGAGGGAGCTGAGCCAACTTTCCTTCATTTTGTTTGGAGGCACTGCAAGCCTGCAGAGTCGCCGCACACTGAAGGTAGTTGAGTCAAGCACGTACCTATTAGGAACTTTCTTAAGAGCCTGATTGCTAGAAATGGTGAGACCTTTTTCTTGAAAAGGAAGGTGCTCCATTTAAATGAATGCTGTAATACACCTAACTTCTTCCTCCCTTAAAAGATCATTTGAAAGCTTATGTGCTGCCTCACCTATGCTTGAACATTTTCTTACGCTGCACGCTTCTCTGCAGAGGAGTATACAGTCATGGGTTACTTGTAGCTGACCGGCAGTCATCAGAATTTTTTTTCTAGTTTCAGGTTTATTAAAATGCTCCCCAGTCTCCAGTTAGTCTACATCAACCTGAGTCTAACTGGTAGCTTTGGAGTCCATTACAAAAGACCGTAGAGTGGGAGAAGACCAAATGCCTTGAGTATTGGCATATATAGTTACACGTCAGGTTTTTACAGGGGATAGTGGCTGCAGCAAAGAGTTGCCCGCTTTCAGTATGTCTTCACATGATCTGCGCCCTGGTGCGTTGTCAGGCAAGCATGCTGGCTGAGGAGTAACGTCCTGCGTCTCCCGGGGCTCTGGGGGGTGCACCACCTCCTAGTCTCGTCTTATACCGTTGAGGTGTTTTTCAGATCATAGAACCAGAGTCTGTCAGGCTGTGGCTGCTCACAGTGGTGGTCATGTGATTTCTGGAATATTTGCTGCAGTATTTGATTTATTTCAGCTGTATACACTTGCCAACTAGTTGTCAAACAGATGTACACCCTCTTATCTAAATTGTTCATTTCATTGTCTGTAGAACAGATTTAGTTAGATGACCGTGTGACATTTGTGAACTCTTCTCCATTTACTTATCAGTGCTTTGGGTTTGACTGTTTTTGAAATAAATAGGCATTTAATTTCAGATAAATAAGAGAAATGGCTCCGTATGAAACACCACTGCTGTGCCTTTTGAGAGCCAGTCATTCATTTGAGTTGGAAAAACTGTTTAGATCTGTAGGATTAAGAAGCTGTGATGTGGAACAGTTTTCCAGCTGAATAGCCATTAGAAGACAATAATTACTTTGTTTTACAATTCAAATTACCTACCTAAAGATATATGTCTATTTTCCTCTAAACATTCATTTTGTTTCATTTTGTTTTAGTGAGTACGGCTCCACAGCAAAAACCTGTAAGTACTTATTCCACATACACTTCTACTCACCTTCCTGTTAAAAACAGCTGTTCCTTATTGAGCTTTTCAAGTTGTAACAGTTTCTGCTGCTTTTTGCAACGTTTTTCATTTTAAGGTTGTTTGGGGATCAAATGGTACCTTTCTTTGTACCCTTCTCACCTGTGGGTGTTTAATACATGTGAAGGTAAAGGACGGCCATGTTTACAAACACTCTGTGTCCTTGAATGGATGAGACGTACCGCTTTGACAAGTTGAAGGGATTTTTAGAGTTGGGGTAGTTAGAGCTCGTCCACGTTTGATCTTCATTTTCCCTGAGCACTTTCTGGGGTGCTCTTGGTGGAGTCTGGTGAAAAGTGATGTGGTCAAGATCAGGTTTGAAAGTGTGATTATTACAAAAACAACATATTTCTGATTGGCCTCCAAGATCCTGTTTTCCTGAAGCTTGTACTCTAACATGTTCTCCAGCCAGTAGTTATGTATAACAGAGTACTGTGTATTTTGTGGTCCAGCCAAATCAAACAAGCTGCTTGGAATTCAGTCTTGCCCCAGTGTCCCTAGACCCACTCAGTCCAGTAGAGGATAGAGTGTATATGTCTTGAGTTGATGAGTCCTATGCAAGTCCTGAAAGTGCTTTATGAACCAGAAGCACTTGAAAGGAAATGCTGAGAAATGGAGGGCGCTGCCAGGAGCCCTCACTTGGGAACGGAAGTCCCAGTGCAGGCGGCAGTTGTAGCAATGATGCCACCTGCCTCACTGCGCGGCCCTGTCCGCGCCTGCAGCCCTGCTGTGGCTCGAGCAGCTTGTTTTGATTATTGATTCCATGGAGAGACTGGAGGCTGTCATTGCCAGCACTTTCCAAGTCACGTGGCCCTGATCGGAGGCAGACTGAGACTGTAGCTTTTTCTTTTTTCTCCCTTTACATCATATGCTCATTTCTGACAGTTTGTGCAGCCTCTGCTGTTGATAACAACAGCTCAGTGGGTGAGACCCAAACACAAACAGTGCTGTTGACCAACGGTGACTGAAACACACCTGTATCGGCAGGGTCTCCTTTTTGGGCTGAGTTCGGCGAGACAGGAAGGACAGGGGAGGTTGTCAGCTTGTTTACAGGCAGCAGCAAATAAAACTTGCAAGGGGTGCTGCTGGTTGAAAAGCCAGGGTACGTCAGCACATTTCTGCTGCGCTCAGCGCTTAAATGAAACAGACTTCCTACATTGGAGCCATGTCCCTCTGAGGGCAGGGCCTGCTCGCCGTCCCCTTCCACGATGTTAGGTGGGCTGGTTTTACGGTTACCCCACCCACCAGGTGGTCTCCTGTGTGGTCATTTGATTTCAATGAAAAACTCCGACCTGACAAAACAGGATTGGTTGGGGTTTGCCACGCCGCTCTCACTTGCACTCTTGCACAGTGCTTTCAAAAGAAGCAAACTGACCTGTGGTGTTTTCTTAACACGTTGTAGATAGGAAAAATATCTAAGAACAAAAAGAAAAAACTGAAAAAGAAGCAGAAAAGGCAGGCTGAGTTACTGGAAAAGCGCCTACAGGAAATAGAAGAATTGGAGCGAGAAGCCGAAAGGAAAATCATAGAAGAAAACATCTCATCCGCTGTACCTTCCAACGAACAAGACGATGAGGAGTACCGCCCAGAGGGCAAGCTCAAGACTGCGGGGTTAGAGGATGCGGCCCAGGGCGAGCCTGCGAATGACAAGGGTCAGTCTGCATGGGGTCCTTGCGCTTCATTACCGGGCACCCACCAGGTCCCCACCCAGGCGGGCTTGGGGTCACTCCTTCACACGTGAGGATGTCTTTCCACCTCCTGATTGGGGAATATGGGAAAACACCTGCCACTTCATTTGTAAAATGAATGCCAGAAATCTGTTAGTATTTCATAATATTTTTTTTTAATGGAAAATGTCTACCTAACACCACATTTTGAACATGCTAACGAATGTTCTTTATTTTGTAATTAACCTTTACCCTAACATAATGTAGTCACATTTTCTGAAGATTGTAGAAGAGAGGGTAGAAGTGGAATTACTCCTTTTTTTCCCCCAAATCTAACTTCTTCTAGTAAGAGTAAGCCAATTTTTTACTAAATGAAAAATACAATTAAGGAAACCTAAGAGTTTACCCTAAAGCCAAGCTGTGTTTTGCTGTGTAGCACATAAATTAAACACGTTCAGGGATGCCTGGCTGGCTTGGTCGGCAGAGCACAGGACTCTTGATCCTCACGGTCACGAGTTCGAGCCCCACGGTGGGTGTAAAGCTTATTTGAGAGGGGGAACAAAAAAACTAAGCACATTCAAAATTGTTTCTTGTTGGAGGAAATATGTACCTAGTACCACTGAGTGCCACTGTGTTAAGGAGAGTAACACGTTCTGATTCTCAACCCATCAACTTTTTAAGGCGAGGCTGAGGACCAGGAAGAGAAGGAAGACACTGAGAAAGAGAACACTGAGAAAGATGAAGATGATGTGGAACCGGAACTGACGAGCACAGACCCTGCGTGGATAGAATCCCCCAGAACCAACGGTCATATTGAGAACGGCCCCTTCCTACTGGAACAGCAGCTGGATGATGAAGATGACGATGAGGAAGATTGTCCCAATCCTGAGGAATATAACCTTGATGAGCCAAATGCGGAAAGTGATTACACATATAGCAGCTCCTATGAACAATTCAATGGTGAATTGCCAAATGGACGACATAAAATTCCTGAGTCACAGTTCCCAGAGTTTTCCACATCATTGTTCTCCGGGCCCCTAGAACCTGTGGCTTGTGGTTCTGCACTTTCCGAGGGATCCCCACTTACCGAGCCTGAGGAAAGCAGTCCATCCCATGACAGAAGCCGGACGGTTTCAGCCTCCAGCACTGGAGATTTGCCAAAAAGTAAGTATCCCTTCCTACCAAGTGTCTGGTTTCAGTGGCCAGAGTGTCTGAGCCTTGACAAATGCTGTGAAGAGAATGCTGTGTGGGGGTGGGCACATCATGTATGTATGAGTTTCCCATGGTCATTTCACTCCTTCTATACTCCTGAGTAAGTAATGTGATTTAAAATGTCTTCTGTCCCAGTAAGGCTTTTTCTGGCTCTCTGAATATCAGATCCCATTTCTAAGCTTTTTTCATTCTTTCTGTATTCAGTAACTGACATCTACATTTGTAGAAACCGTCCACATCCAGCAGCTTATACCTGTGGCTTTCACAGAATATGTAGTTTAATATTTGCACTTCCATCTCATAGTCTTGCTTTTGGTTTTTGTTTTGTCTCGTTTATATTCAAGGAAAAAACATACCTCCTCTTCGTCTGTGTTAAGGAAGGAGTCTCTGATTTTATTCTGATAGTTGTTTCTGGTCATAGGACTCTACTGTTGAAATGTCAAAGCCAATTTAAAGCGAGGGGTATGGGATTTCATGTGATGATGACTTATATCAAGTGTTTTGAGCGTGAGTGCCCCACGGCCCATCTATGCCTGGGACCTGCTCAGGGACTCCAGTAAGCAAACCTGGGGCATCAAGGAGGGTTTCCATTCTAGCCACGGAGGCGCTCAGAATCCTCCTCTGCTCCCTCTGCTGGCAAGAGTGGTTAACACATGATGGGTCAGTTGATGACCCAGCCCTGCAAGTAGCCCTTGGAGTGAATCCCCAGCAGCCCCTCCTGGTCCAGCAGATGGGGGACCTGCAGAGCTGACTTTGTTACTCATTGGCTCTAACTAACCACCCTAAGGATGTAGGTTCTGTTTTGTTATTTCTTTTACTTGGGTCAACATACCCTGTTCCTTTTTACTTTTACCCCAATCAAGGACTCTTTGAGGGTGCTTACAGAATGCTTTTTCACACGGAAGGTAGGTTCATGTAGGGAAAACTCACCTGTGTGTGTGTAGGAGTATTTCCCTCCACCAGAATCTTCTCTGACACCAGCTGGGTGTCCTGTTATTTGACTCCGTTCTGACAGTCTCTGGAGACAGAACCACATCCTACAGGTGAAGGGCTCCGTCCCACTAGACACCCCTGCTCCCCTTCACACACCAGCGGCAAGTACACTTTGTTACCGGTGCTTCTGACCCATCAGCCATGAAATGAGGGTTCCCATGACCCCATCCTCAGGTTCAACTAATTTGTCCCAGCAGCTCAGGGAACACAGGAAACCTGTTTTCCTGCTAGATTCCTGGTTTGTTATAAGTGAATACAGAACTCAGGAGCAACCAGACGGAGGAGATGCAGAAGGCAAAGCTTTCATGCTCTTTCCTGGCACGCTGCCGACCCCACGGCCTCTCACGCATCCCTTCATATCCTGCGCCCATGGGTTCCTTTGCTTTTAATGACCACTCTGAGTTACGTCTGATAATCATTCACAGCTTCTTGTTTCCTGCTGCCAGAATTGTCCCTGGTTTGGTCCACATCAGCCTTTTCGAATGGTCTCTTCTGTCCTTTTGACACAATCCCTTGCCCTTTGCTGCTTCCGGTCTCTCTGGAATCTCGTCCCGAGCTCACACCTGCCCTGCCCCAGGCTGGAGCCATCCGTGTCCTCTGGTAGTTTCTGTTACTAGTTTTTGTTTGCCTTTTATCATGTACATAACGTATAGGAACAATGGAATGTGGCATTTATGAATAGGCATTTACTGAGATGAACATTCACTTTATTGAAGGAGTAAACCGTGGAAAGGTTTGCAGTCGCAGGTATAACGGAGCTCCTTCCCAGCTTATTTTCCAGAGCCGATGAAGAGAGTCTGTGTAAATGGCACGTTTGCTCTTGTTTCTGTGCCTTTGCGCCTGCCTTTCTTCCTGCTGGGAGTTCTCCTCCCCTTTTCCACTGCCCATCCTGTGGGCAAACTTGCATTCTTTTGCCGGCCAGCGGCACAAACACCTCCTCCGCATCGCTTCCCACGTGGGCCAGTTCCCTTCCCCCACTTACCTGCCAGTCATGCTTTTCTTAACTGCACGCTCCTTGTTTCTGCCAGCCTTTTCCTCACCACGGTGTGAAGTTGTTGGGAGCGCCGTGGGGTTTTATCCGTGTATCCTCAGCATGTAACTCAGTGCTGCCATGAACATTTATTAACGAACAGTCAAATCACTGATAATCTGGGTTTTTTTCTTGTCACTTATCTTTGTGCCACCTGCCCCCTTCACCATCAGCACTGGCTCTCCTGTACGAACGTCACATTGGGGAGAAACAGGAGGTCCATTTTTCACTTTGACCCAAACCTCTCACCAAGCAGACCTTTTCGGTATTGTTCAATTCTAGGTCCCCAGCAGGGCCGGGGTCTCCTTATCCAGTCATTTGTTTAGAGGCACTCAGTTTTGGTTTCCAGCTTGATCCTTGGGTAACGATGGGAGCACAGGAGGGGTTTGTTTCCTGTGTGAACGGAGTGGGGCCCACAGGCCCGTAGTTGGCTGTCTACCTCTGTGAGAACACGAGGCAAGGGAAACCGGCCGTGTTCAGAGCTGGTGTGGATCCCTGTCGCTAGAGCGGGCCACACATGACAGGAAGTAGCAGAAGGAAGAGCCCGGCCAGATGAACTCTCCTGCCAGGATGAAGGGTGCAGCCCTGTTCCCTGGAGTGGCGGGGAGCCATGGAAGGCTGAGGAGGCAGGATTCCTCTTGGATTATTCGCTCTAGAGCTGTAGCATGTATCTTGACCCATCCCATCTGGTATTGCTGGCTTTACCTGGAAGGTTCTCGCCCTCACCTGGTGGTGACCCAGATCACTGCCAGTCCTTGCATGTGCTGCCCTCGCTGTGACCCTTGCTGCCTGGCCTGACCTCTCTAGGGCATATCCTGTGCTCTTCCCTTCCTCTCCCTACCGAAGGACCTGCAGTTCATTTCCACTCAGTATTAACGGCCCGAGGTGTCGCTCTGAAGCCTGCAGGCCCTTTGCAGCCCTCTCCCTAGCGGCTCTCTCTGGCCTTGTCTCCCCTTCCCTGCCCCGGCTCATTCGGCACCTCCCACCCTGGCTTCTTCCTTAAGTTTCTCAAAAGTGTGAGTTTGTTTCTCCCACTTTGCATTTGCACCTGCTGTCTCCTCTGCCCAGGGCCTCTCGTTCTGCATGCCCCCCTTTATTTAGGCCTCTCCTCAAAAGTCACCTTCTCAGAAAAGACCTCCCCCGAACAACCTCATCATGGTCCATCTCCTTTCTCTGCTTTGTTTTCCATCTTTGCATTTAGAGCCATCTGACATGGCATGTGACTCATTTTTTTTTTTTTAACTTTTTATTTTTGAGAGAGAGAGAGCGTGAGCAGGGGAGGGTCAGAGAGAGAGAGGGAGACACAGAATCTGAAGCAGGCTCCAGGCTCTGAGCTGTCAGCACAGAGCCCAACGCGGGGCTCTAACCCACGAACCGTGAGGTCATGTCCTGAGCCAAAGTCAGACGCTTAACTGACTGAGCCACCCAGACGCCGCATCATTCATTTTTACTCTATTGTCCATATCCTGCCCGGTGCATGAGTTTCCTAACCCAGGCTGTGGTGAGGGGGCCGTTGCCATGACAGCACGCAGAAGGGACTCCGTAAATACCCGGAGAAGGAACGGGCCAGGCTCAGGTGTTAGATCCCCTAGGGCCTGGTGCTGAACCTCTGGGCGCCGAGAGGGTATTCGTGCTTTTACTGGAGGGATGCTTCAAGCCAGAGAGGGTCTGCTGAGCCTAGCCCAGCCTTGCAGATAGGCCATGGTGGTGCTCTCGTCCGTTGAAGGCGCCACCCACTGCCATCTTACTAGTTTCTGGCATAGCTTCACATGGAATGAATAGTCGCTCAGACCCCAGGCCACCAGAGATGGGTCAAGAGCCGCATCCTTCACGAAGTGACATATCCCCACTTGTCATTCCCTCATTGGAAGAGGCAGTGCATGAGGAAGAGCTGTAAGAGGCGACCACAATAATGACTCAACGAGATGAGATGATCTGAGTCCTGGGCAGAGCAAAGTTGGTGTGAGTACCCGGCAAGTGCCTGTTGTTTAAGTGGGCTGTTTTGAGGGTTGCAGTCAGGTAATTATGGCACCGAGAGAAGGCAGTCAGAAATACCAAGTAGGTTGTCTTGTACCCTACTTGTGGTCCTGTGCAGTTCAGCTCTGAGATGAGTTCCCTCGTATTATTTGTCATGCGCTGTGAGCAGGGTCGCCGTCTACGGACCTGAGCCAGGAGGATAACAGCCTGCCCCCAAAGAGACTGTTTCGTGATCGTAAATGAGGGGTATTAAACACAAAGAAACTGTATTGAACATGTGTGATGATGCGTCTTTTCAAGTGCATCTTCTCTGTCTTAATTGACTCATGTGGCTCCTGGGAGGTGTCTTTGGGACACCTAGGAGCCGGTGGCAGGTCGAGATGCCCCCCTTGCACCGCACACTCTCAGTGAGAACTGGAGCCTCACCCTCTTCTCCCTCAGACCTCTGATCTCAGTAGTTTGGCTTCCCCTCCCCCTCTGCCTGCTCTCTGCCGTTGGGGCTGGGGCTGGTGGGGGTGGGGGGCAGGGGCAGAGGCAGCCCCAGCCTGAGGGGGAGGTGGCGGGGGGAGTCTGTCTGGTCCCAGGCACTCATGGAGTCCCGGCTCCTTCAGGCCACTTGGTTGGTTGGTCAGTTTGGTGGGAGGGGTGGGGGGGTGGCATGGCCCCTTCTACTTCTCTTTTGAACGCTGAGCCTCACAGAGTCAGGTCACTTGCCAGAGTCTCACAACTTGTTGGCATTGAAACTTCTACTTGAATCCAGTTCTGTAACCCTCAAGCTCCGTTTTCTTGCCTGCTGACCCTCCTTGATTGACTGACATGAGGGATTCATCTGGCCGTTTCTGGTGCTGCCTGTCTATCCACTGGGTCAGCATTTTTCTGTTTCTCCCAGAGCTCTGTTGACTCCATCCCTCAATCACTGTATCCAGTTTGCCTCCTCGTATGGGGCTCTGTGCTCCTTTCCTTCTCATCATTTCCGAGTTCCTATGTTCTGCCAGCTCTGTCCGCCTTTGGCAAAGCCCACAGTAGATTGGCATCCTTATAAAGAGGAAAGTGGTCGTAGGGCAGATGGCAACAAGGGGACACGTGAGCCTCGCCTGCCCATGTTAACCCACAAGCCGGAGGAGTGGGGCTTGAGGGCTAAGATATTGGCCAGAGCTCTCTCTGTGTCCTCTGGCCCCTCCTGGGGAGCTCTGTAGGTCCCCGCTCCTGAGGAGGAATGCCCAGGAATCAACCCCCTGATACCCTAAGGGAGGTTTGGCTTGTTTTAGCAGTGCCCAGCTCTGAGCAGACGAAAGGGTATTTGATGTTCTGCATTCAGTGGACTTTTCTGTTCAGTCTGTAAATAGCATCCAAGCGTTACTTCTCCAGTAATAAGAGCCGTGGTTACATCTCATCCCTTCCAGAATTTGGAGCTTATAAGTCAGTTTGAGGTTTGAGGAAGATGCTTACTCCAGGATTTTCTGTCTGGACCACTCCAGGTCCATTTTCTTTGTCACTCGCCTCTTGGTTAACCATGCCCAATACAGGCATGATCTAGGCTTGACCAAAAAGCTCTTTTGACCCCAGGAGCCCTGAGAAGTCTAGCCCTGTGTCTGCTGTTGAGATTCTCTCGGGGCCACTGGGGTTAAGAGTGGCCTGAGTATTTGATGAGTTCGGGAGGGACCTTAGCAGTTTGCCGTGTGGCTCAGATGGCCTCAGAAGACCTCTGTTTTGGAGCGTTCCTTGTCCAAAGCTAAACCCAAACTGATGAGTTCTGGCCTTTAATCTGTTGTGTTACCCAGCCATCATCTAACCTCTGAGGTCTCTGTGCTCAGCCCAAGCAGGAGAGGTAGGTGAACTACCTCTGGTGGCTACCAGGTGAACTGTGTGTCCCTTAGAAAGGGATTGGCCATCCAGAAACACATCCTCTCTACCTTAGTGTTTCATGTAGTAGCACACCAAGATAGATGTGGTTCACTCTGGGCTCTGGTGCCATGAGCAGCAGCTAGAAAGATGCAGAAGGGAGCAGAGTACGGTCACCCTAGAGGAGAGGGAATCAGCAATATAAAGAGAAGGGGCCAGGCGGAGCCAGTGCGGTGTCTGGGCAGCCCAGTGTGCTGTCCCTCAGGAAACACCTTCCAGGGATGAAGACCAAGAATTTCAAATTCTCTTGAGTTCAGCTTACAGGGTTCCAGGCCTCAGTGATCCTTGCATCACTTTCCTAGAAAAGGAGACTGCCCAGTGGACACTGTGTGCACCACGCAAGCCACTTGTCCCAAGCACTAACCGTCTTGCTGTTTGCTCACACCAGCCAAAACCCGGGCAGCCGACTTGTTGGTGAACCCCCTGGATCCGCGGAACGCAGATAAAATTAGAGTTAAAATTGCCGACCTGGGAAATGCTTGTTGGGTGGTAAGTAAAGTTTTCTTTCTAGAACGTTTTGGTCATGATCATGTATTAGAAGACACTTTTATTTTCTTTTTTAATGTCTGTTTTCCTCCAAAGTAACACCATCTGTTCCCTTCCAGCATAAACACTTCACAGAAGACATCCAGACGCGCCAGTACAGATCCATAGAGGTTTTAATAGGAGCAGGTTACAGTACACCTGCTGACATCTGGAGTACGGCGTGTATGGTAAGAATGGCCTTTGCCACTTCCTTCCGTGTCAGGGCTTATCTCTTAATGCTCATCGTGGGCCAGTGTCGCCAGTGCATGTGGTCTGAGCTTTCCCGACCGTGGAGTTGGTCTGCCGTGTGGTGAGCCAGGGCAAGCTCGCTGTCTCAAGTGCCTTGAGAATTGGAAGAATGCTTCTCAGACGTGTTCTGGGGTTTGGCCTGCTTTGGTCTTGTGATAGATGATCTCTACTCAAGGCCCTCTTCCGCCCACCACCCCCAGGAATCACAGCCTCCGCTGAGGTGACAAAATGACTTCGAGTAATTCTGTCTGGTTTCTGAAAGATTGCGGGTTTCATGCAGCTTTACCCATGCCTCAGGCCGCGGAGGAGGAGACAGCGGTGTCTTCGGGAAAGATTGTCTGAGGTTGAAAGGCGAGAGCCCTTCTCAGTGACCTCTGACAGATCTTCCTTCCTTCCTGACGAGGAAAGGATTTCCCCACACACCAGTGTTTAATCTCTCCTCCTTTATATTTAAGGCAAATCTAGAGAATATTCTGGCTTGTTTCTATAGGCTGTCCACTGATTTCTGAGACTCCAGCAGCTGCACCTAGTCCCTCTGGCTGAGTCTGTTCCCATAGAGAACATGGAGATATTATTTCTTGGGGTCTCAGGCTGCATCGTGGGTGTAATTGGGTCTAGACCCTCCCCCGGGCCCTCACCAGTGCCTCATTTTCTCACTTACTGCTGACCTGTGACCTGCTGAGCCCAGTGGACCCTTGTCCATATGCCAAATTCAGTTTCTTTCTTGGCCCTGTTTTCTAGCCAGTTCAGTTACTTCCTCTAAATAAGCTGTGCTTTGTGGTCCCGTGCTGGAAAAGGGGGTGCTATTTCATGTTTTTCTTATTCAATATTTTCCCCCACATTCTCTGATACCTTTAAAATGAAACACTTTGTGTGTAAAGCTTGGCACTTGTCTTCTCACTAAAAAAAGCAACAGGTAATTAATACATGTAATTTTCTCTTATTCGAAGATTAACAGTTCTTTTGAGATTGCTGTATTTTATGCCCCCTGATGCTGCAGTGAGAAGTATGGTGCTGGATGATATGAAAGAAAGTAGTTGTTTGTGTAAAATTGTCCAGATCTGAGGCAACAGATGTGGCCAAACAGATCTGAAGCACTGTGCCTTTCTATTCCCATGTTGTACTGACAAATAATACCAGATAATTTTTAAAAGTAAGTTTTTCAATGAGTATCAAAAACCTAAGTCTTTGCTGTGCTTGGTATGGAAAAGAACAGTTAAAAGAATTGGTGGGACGCTATGGCTGCTTTGAATTCGGAGGCTGCTGTGCGGAGAGGACTCGAGGGAAGGAGGGGGCGGGGCGCCCGCTCCAAGTGGGAGGCAGAGGTTAGGTCAGGAGGAAGGGAGCACTTTCAAAAATTGGAGCTTCAGGGGAGAAATGTTCCGTTCCAGGATGTGGTGAGGTCAAGCCTTACTTGTCCCCAGCAACACAGGGGGGCCATACCGGGCTGCCCGGAATTAGACTCCAAGAGCTCTTTCAACTCTGAAATCCTGTACTTCTAATTTGGGGTGTTAAATTTTGGTGATATAACGGGAAAAATAGGACAAGATCACAGAGACAGGAGAATAATGGGGGGAGCTCAGGGTGATGTTCTACTCGGCTATCTGTCTTCCTTTCCATTAGATTAGGACTCGGCCCCTCCCCGCAGTCCCCACTGGCCGCTCCTGCTGCCGCCAGCAGTGCTATAGACCATCTCCTTCCTCCTGCGTCCCGCTCCCCTCAGACTAAGCGTAAGCTCCCTCAGTGCCTCACAGGCTACTCACAGGTGGTTGTTGTTTTAATGAGTCAGATGTTGGAAGCATGATTTTTCTGGATGGGGGGCAAGCCTTCGTTCACAACACCTACCTCCCATCCCTGAAGGCCAAGGCCGAGAGGTCCCTTCTGTTCTTCCCAGAGAACCTGGTAAGCATGAGGTGGTGTTTCTCCACACCTGTCCTTTTGTAGAAGTTTGGAAACATAATACATTGAATTCATGATACCAGGCTCTGCTCAAGCTCCAGATTGTTCTTGGTGGTGAGGCCTGGAGTCCTTTGATGACACAGATGGCATGAAGACTTGCAGAGGCCCCACTGGGGTTGTGAGCCCCTTCGTGGTGGCCAGTGCCTTTGCTCTCGTCAGGGAGGAGAGCAACAGAACGAGGCAGAGACACTGAGATGTGTCCTGTTGAACCTCCTTTCCTTTTCTTGAGTCTTGGGGCCCCTCCCAATGTAAGTGGATGTGATCTAAAAATTCTGTGTGGGCCGATGCATCAACTGTTGTGCACTGTGTGTCAGCCGCAGAGCAGGGAATGTCTATAGGCCCCCCGGTGAGCCACATTCACTGACCTAGAAATAAGAAAAGCCAGGCTGGCACAGGTCACTTGTTTAGCACTGGTCACATCACAGAAAGAATAGGTGACCTTATTTATTCAGAGTGGGGTACTTGGTGTGGAGGAGGGCAATTTAAGAAAGAGGTGTCTGGTCTCCCCAGGACTTGAGAACAGAATTTGCTCCAGGTGAACACCTCCCGAGGGGGTCTGGTCAAGTACAGAGGAAGGAATCCAAGGTTCCCAAGTATGAAAAATCCCGAGAATTAAAATAGTCACAAGGGAGGTTCTATCAGGAGTAACCTATGGAGTTGAAGGCAGTAATCTTTCACCTGCGTGAAGGCAGGTCATAAAGCACCAGGGTCCACATTTCCATTGGAATGTCTGCATCTGCTCTTCACGTGTGTCCTTGTTAAGGAAATCTTGTCACTTTCCAGAGAACCAGAACCAGATGACACACAGGAGAGCCCTCGTCCTACCTCGCATCTTCCTTTTCTCTTTTAAACCATTTCTTTGTAGGCTTCTTTGCCTTGAGTGTTGCATTGGAAACAGGCGGGAGCTAATGGAAACGGTCGTCTTTCGAAGAACACTTAGTTGACCCACCTTAGTGTCAGGCTGTAAGAAATAAATTCAGCTTGATTGAATGTCTTTGGAAAATGAGTGAGGAGAGAGAGAGTTCTCAGCCGTGGCCCCCTCCATGGAACGCCTACAGTGGCGGCTTCACCATTAGGGTCTCACCTTTTCCTCATGGCTTGTAGGCTCTTCTGTTGTGTCCTGGGTGGGGAACACTCTTCTGGCCATTCAGTATTCCCCTTGGATTTGCAGCCAGAGGTGAGGTTGGGTGGAGAGAAGAGGCCCCGGGTGAGGACTTTCCCTGGCTCTGCAGCCCCCACATGACCAGCTCACTCAGTGCTGGGACGGGCATGTCCAGGTCCCGCGGGATCCTGACTTCATGCACTGGTGGTCTCACGGGAAAGATGACAACAATCTTGTCACCCCACTGCTCTCCTTTCTTTAAAAAAAAAAAATTATGAGGCGATGTGGTCCCGGCCTGAGTACACCCACCTTGATTTGTTAAAGACAGCGCTAGGAGACGGGTCCCTACTGACCCCCTCTGGCCGTGGACAGAAGGAGGAAATGGGTGGGTGCAGTGACGGTTCATCAGCGGCGGGAGTGAGGAGGGCCCTGACCCGCAAGCATCAGTGACAGGGGCCTGGGCCCCTGAGCACCTTTCAGAACAGCAAGATCCAATACAAAATAGATATAAGTATAGAAAAGCAGAAATAGGATTTAGCCTTTTCCTTTAAAAAACAAAATGTTAAACATGGTATTCGATCATCAGAGCCATGGCTGTTGCCATCTTTATGTAACATTAGCTAATTAAAGTCCTAGTCCTGAAGTTATTTCTTTCTTCTTCTTTTTTCTGTTTTTGAGAACAAGGGGAGAAGAGTGTGTGGCAGAAATGGAAACAAAGGGCAACGCCCCCGTGCTGGCGGGTGGGTAGTGGTAGCCCCAGAGGCACCATCACCCCCCCGCCCTCCTCACCAGGTTCCTCCCGGCCCAGGGCTCAGAGCCTTCTGTTTGGCTCAGGGTTTTCCTTTGCTTGAGTCAGAAGTGGGAGAAATGCGGAGATGCTGAGAAGACGTCCTGGTCACTAAGGCACGAGGGTCTTTGCTTCAAGAGAGCAGCGTTGCCCACTTTCCAGGGGCTACATGAGCCTGCAGTGGAGGGCCCACCGTTCAGAGCTGGGGCTTGCACTGCCCCCACACCCCCCCGGCCTGCACACAGCTGCTCATCGAGAACACACAGACTTCACATCCTCCCGTGGAGGAGATGGGAGAAAATTTCTGAAGCTTCTTTGAACTTTTTGGGAGGAAGGAAAAAGTTGGTGTGGAGCTCTTTTAGAAGGCTCTTGGGTTTGATCAGATCCTGCTAAGACATAGGTCTCTTGTCTAAGGAGGGAAAGCTGCTGCCTCGGGGCCAGTGTCTGTGAGGTGCTTAGTGTGCCATCTGTTGTGTCCTAGGCATTTGAGCTGGCAACGGGAGATTATTTGTTTGAACCGCACTCTGGAGAAGACTATTCCAGGGATGAAGGTGAGTATCGCTGCCTGCCAGATACCTCAGGCTGGGCCTCCTCAGAGGCCTGAGCTTCTGGAGGGTATTGTGTTTCTATACCAAAATAGAGCTGTGTTTTGGTTTTCAAACGCCCAATTGAGACGCTTTCGCCTGAGCTTGAAGCCCCATCGGGCACAGTGGACAGGCAGCTCAGCCATCAGCCCAGGGCTGCCTCTCCTTCCTGCTTGCCTCGGCCAGGCACCCAGAGGCCAGGGAAGGACAGGCTGTGCTCCCCTGAGGCCTCTCTGTAGTCCTTTTGTCCACTGATCCGCTGCCTGTTTCACTGTCCTGTCGGGGAGTGGAGTTGAAAACCTGGGAATTCTGGCCTGAATTCCATCTGTAAAGCTGACCATCTCCATGCTTATTTGCTTACAGTGCTGGGGTGGTCTGGGGTGAGCTGGCATCAGTCACTGTCCGTGCTCCAGATGGTGCCTGAGGCCTCCCAGCCCCAGAAGCCTCTGCATGGATGTGCTGCAGACATTGTTAATTTGAATCTATTTCTGATTTTTTACTAATTTCAATTTTTTTCCCCTCTTCTTTTATCCCATCCTTCCCTGTGCCCCTCCCATTCCCGTGTCCTGTTTTTCTCTCCTCCATAGACCACATAGCCCACATCATAGAGCTGCTAGGCAGTATCCCAAGGCACTTTGCTCTATCTGGAAAATATTCTCGGGAATTCTTCAATCGCAGAGGTAGTACCTCTTCTTTTTGAAAAGCGCCACGATGCAGACAGAAACGGGATAGCAGCTGCTAATTGAAGCATTAACGATGACAGATGTTTCTCTTAAATTCAGAATGCAAATTCCTGTGCCGATTTAAAAGTTGACAGGGAAGACCGCACTCGACCTTGCCGAGGTCACCCTGTGTGTCCGGCCGCACCGGCGGAGCCTGTGCTTGGATTCCCCAGGTGGCGCTCCGTTTCTGTCTGCGCGGGCGGTAGCAGTGTCTGCATGCAGTGTACTGATTAAACTGTCGTGTGTTTCTGTTTTGCTGGCAATGTTTCCCAATGCAGATCACATAGCATTGATCATTGAACTGCTGGGGAAAGTCCCTCGAAAATACGCTATGTTGGGAAAATATTCCAAGGAGTTTTTCACCAGAAAAGGTAACGGTATTTATGCAACACTAATTTTCAGCATAATCCTCTCCGAAAAGGAGAAATTGTGCATTCACGTTTGGGCAGTGGAGAAAGACCTGGACCTTTCCAGCTGGGGAATTCTGCTGAAGAAGGCTCTCAAGAAATAAGCTTGATGCATCTCCTGTCTGTGGAGTACGGATTTTGTAAGAGTACCACTGCCTGGAACCCTCCGTCTCCTCCCCACCCTCTCCTCTCCTAATCTAAGCCCGGTCTGTGTGTTCATGGATTTATGAAAAGGAGTTTAAGTGATTTTTAGAAACCAGCTAGATTTTTCTTTTCCACTTCCCATGTTGTTCGTGGAGCCCGAGTGTGTTTGCCATGGAGTAGAGGCAGCCCAGAGATGGGACTTGGCCAGTGTCCCTCCGTGTCCTGCTGGTGTGTCTGAGCTCCTTAGGGGGCGGGCCACTGAGACCCTTTGCCCCCCCCGCTGTGAGAAATGTGAGTTCTCCCCGGCACTACTCACATCATATTACAGCTGATTTACTTCAGCAAAAAGGCACCAGGAGTTTTTTGTTAAAGAACCCCTCACCGGCGCCATAATCTTTTGTGCAAGCACGTTGGGCCTCTTAATTATGGTTTTCCCACTTGGATTTTTTTGGCAGGGAGAGGGAACAGTTGCATCCCCCTTTAATAAAGAACTTTTAAGTTGGTGTGAGCAGGACATGGAGTTTCTAGAAATTTTTGAAAGTCCGACATGCTCTATCCCTTCCTGCTTCAGCCAGATTCGGAGAATTGACTTTGACTTTTTATTTTTCTCTGAGATGAGGTATACCCCTAGAGTCCTAATCCCTCACTATACTCTTTGGTGACGTCTGGCCACCCAGTCCTTGTTCCATCCTTTAAATTGCACTTCCCTGTTACATGCACAAGACTTGAGAACGCGCTGTGCCAAATCCGGCAATTTCCTGTTCCACTTACTTTGAGCACAGCGACCGCCACTCCCAGCTTTCCTGGGGCCACCCAGTCGGCGACCTCTGAAATGTGTAACTAGCCACAGTTACTATCTTACTACCTTTTAGAGGTTTATCACAGGGAAGAAAGATTGTCAGGAAAAACTGCTCTTCAGACAACCTATGTTGATTTTGGTTCTGAGAACCTGCCTCGGCTTTGAGTCTGGGTCACATGAGCAAGGTACATGGTTCCCCTCACGTGTGGGCCCAAGTAGGCCTGAGGCTGGTAAAACTGCTTTGCCCCTTAACTTTGTTCTTTGACAGCATGGTGTGAGGCTGGGCATGCCATGTCTTCATGTCATCTCTGGACCTCCCATTTCCTGTGCAGCAGAGGCACCATAGCAGCACGTGTCATGTTTGCTGAGGCAAAGTTCTAAACAGGAAAGAAAACACTCTAAACATGGTGAACTTCCAGACAGCAGTATTACTGAGAGAGCGGGCTAAGTGTCCGTAGGAAACTTCTTGAAAATGGTTAAAGGGCTGAAGCAGGGGAAAGCTCTGGATTATTGTGGCTTGGGATTTGGTGTGACTTGAGGAACTCTGTTTTGATCAAGGCAGACCCCTCTTCCACATTTCAGAGCCTGTGAGAGACGGCCTGGCCGCTGGGAGGACTTGGCCGGCAAATGTCTTGTAGGGAACCCACAGCCACAGCCGTCACCACTGTCAGATGGGGGCTCGGAGGGGAGAGTGACCCAGAGCTACCAGCTCAATGTGTCGTGAAATAGGGGACACTGACCTGTTGATGCTCTAGGGAAGGGGACAGGCACTGGAGGGCAGTGGACCTTAGCACCTGCTCCCTTAGCCAAGCAGAGAATCCGCCACAGGCCGACGAGCAGGGTTTGGCACTGGGTTGTGGGGAGTCCTCATTTCCACACGGGCATCAGCCACGGAGGACCATTAGCCAGTAAAGGCACATGGGATTTTTCCTTTAGCTGTGCTGCTGCTGCCTTTCCTCTGCAGCAGGGAGCTGCTCAGAATGCCTGGTCTCCGCGCTTTTCCCGGCACAGTGTCTGTGGCTTGGGAACCACTTACTAGGCACAATGGGGAGGAAACAGGACAGGCAGGACAGGAGACAACCCGAATGCCTAGGAGGTGGAGTCTTGTTTGTCTAGCAGCTTATGGTCAGGTTCTCTGGAGGCAGCTGCTCTGAGGCTCTCGGGCCTCTTGGCCACTGCCCCCAGGGACGGCACCTGCTGGGTACCAGCCCGGAAGTCCTTTCTCACCCCACTCCACAGGTGCTGTCCTTGGGGGCCAGGCTGATGAGTGATGCATGGTGAACTGACGCCGGGTAGTGGGTGGCTCTGCTCACAGCTGCCTGACTTGTAGCCCTTCGGGCCTTCCCATCAGCAGCCCTGCTACTGGGGCCGCACGTGGCCTGCGTGTGACTGCTGCCTGCTCCCCGCGGGGGGTATGGAGTGCTTACCCGGGACCGTTGTCACTGCACGTGCGCTTAAAGGCCAGCATGCACAGACTCTGCGGGGTCACTTGTTGGAAGGTGACCTGCAGGGTCGAAATCCATTTGGCCTCCTCAGTAATGGTAGACTAGACACATTGTAACTCAGTGTTACTGTGGTCACTAGTCCTTTTTCCCTTCATTAGATGTGAGGGAGAATCTCTGGACGAGGCAAGTGATTGGCAATTGGGACCCGAGTCCTTTCCTGATCACTGTTTATTTATAAGTGGAGATCAGAAGGGATTTAGGGTTTTTGTAGATGTCACAAGAATAATATTTTGATGAACGAGGGCCTGTCGTGAAAATAGATTTCACCATGTCCCCCAGGATGAGAGGAATGATTTGTGATATAAAAGCCAGGTTTTGGCATGTTTCCCCTAAGGAATGTGTGTGGATATACACTTTGGAAGTAATGAGATCTTAAATGTATCCATTAACATTTTTTTAAGTACCTTTGTGCCAGAACTGACACACAGAAGCAAAATCGGAAACTGTTATAAATTTGTTTGCATCCCTTTGGAAAACAGGCAGCAATTGAGAGGGGGTGAGCAGCACGCTTCCCAGCTCTTTGTCCTCCTGAGGGGACCCAGACCACATCCTCACCTTGATGCCTGTGAGGAAGAGTGTGGCGTCTGTGTGCGGAAGCTAAAAACCAAGTGCAGCTAAATGGCCTGTTCTTACGTGCAGCTCTGGGTAAAATGATTGTTACCAGCCTGAGCAATCATTTCTTAGCCAGGAACTTTTCAGTGAAGCTGGATGTTTTGGCAGAGAAGGTAGTTGCTGTTCTCATCCTGTTAGAGTTTATTAACCAGCAGGTTACTCCTCTGGGTGTGGACATGAGCCACTGAAGATCTTTCATAAAAATCCTCTTGACCAGTCTGTGAAGCTGTGCCCCACTAGACGTAAGCACCTCTGTGCATTCTGTCCTGGTCTGTCCCACTGTGGTCTGAAGGTGAGTGTCCCCGCCAAAAATTCATGTGTGGGAACCCTAATCCCCAAAAGTGGTAGTGTTAGAAGGTGGGGGCCTGTGGAGAGTACATAAGTTCCTGAAGGCAGAGCCCTCCTGGTTGAGATTAGTGCCCTTGCCTGTGTACCCTGTGCAGAGGGCACAAGAGGTCTGTGACCCAGAAGAGGGCCCTCACCGGAACCCAGCCCTGCTGGCAGCCTCATCTCAGGCTGGCAGCCTCCAGAACTGTGGGGAATAAATTTGTTCTTATTTATAAGCCACTCAGTTTGGTCGTCTTTTGTGATAGCAGTCAGGATGGAGTAAGACATGTCCCCAGAAAGTGTCCCAGCACTCGTCACATGGTGAAGCAGAAACCGTGCAGTCAGGAGTGCACCTTCTTGGGCTGCTGAACAGAGGTTCCGCCGACCCATGAGCCATCATTTTAGTAAAACTTACACTGCGTTGGAAATATCCAGAGTAGTTTACTTTTTTAAAAAACACGTTGATTCTGGGTGAGGGCATCACGTGTCCTGGAATGTAGGAGAGTGATCTGTTGTGTGTTGGACCAAAGACCTTAGGTGCAATTCAAAGCGTGCAAGAAACATGTGCAGACAGAGCACCGGGGCGGCTCAGTTGGGTAAGCATCTTGCTCCAGGTTTCAGCTCAGGTCATGGTCTCACAGTTCGTGGGATCGAGCCCCACATTGGCTCTGCGCCGACAAGCCTGCTTGGCTTTCTCTTTGTCTCCTCCTCTCTGCCTTTCTCCTGTTCATGCTCTCCCCGCCTCTTCCCTCTCTCTCAAAATAAACTTTATTATTTTTTTTTAAATTTTTTTTAATGTTTTATTTATTTCTAGGAGAGAGAGAGAGGCAGTGTGAGCAGGGGAGGGTCAGAGAGAGAGGGAGTCACAGACTCTGAAACAGGCTCCAGGCTCTGAGCTGTCAGCACAGAGCCCCACGCGGGGCTCGAACCCACGAACCGCGAGATCATGACCTAAGCGAAAGTCGGACACTTAACCGACTAAGCCACCCAGGCGCCCCAAAATAAATAAACTTTAAAAAAAAAAAAGGAAACTTGTGCAGAGGATTTGCGGCAGGTTGCCGACATGTCCCCTGTGGTCGGGCCACCGGGACCGGTGACTGCCCTGGAGAGGCCGAGAACTTGAAGGGAACTCCAGAGGAGACGCTGTGTTCCCTGTTCTTCATTTTTAATGTTTGAGATGAAAATTGTTAGAACGATTTCATCTCCTCTCCAGAATCGCCCAAATCAACAGATTCTCTTATTTCTGTGAAGAGCGAGGCCCACTGTGGCCTCTGGGCCCATGTTGGCTGGCGCCATCCCACTCGTCGTCATGGCCTCAGGTGGCGAAGCCCATCAGTGGCCACGGTTTGCCGGCCACACAGGCAGGCGCCAGGCCCGGCACGAGGCCGCCTTGGGGATGCCTGGGGCTCATCGCCCCGTGAGCTGGCCTCTCTTCTAATGACTAGAAAAGGCTCCTCGCACTAGTGAGCCTAAGCTAGTCACGTTTAAAACATGAACAACTTTAACTACCATTTCACTCTAAACGTCACTTCTGAGTTGTTAGGATCCTCTGTGAGATCAGCCCCTGGTCTGTCCTG